ATCCTGTTGATTGTCTCGTTGTGGATGTCCCCCTGTCCTCCTAGGGGGCCTTGTATTTATACCCATAGGTGTCCCCTTATCCAAGTAGAACTAGGGAAACCAATATGGATACAATCCGAGTAGTTCTTGTCGTTTCCATGTAGAACTCTAGTTGTCTTTCCTTATCCGGAACTCCCTCCATATCTGAAGTCGGTTTCCGTATAGGACATGGTATGTGGTGGGTCCTGCCGAGATTTAATCAACTACTATTAGGTATGTGGTATCCATAACCATGACAGTGTGATTCTTTTTTTATTGCATAAATTTGAGTGCCAAAATTTGTGTTGTGGGATGAATGGACAGTGATATGTGGATGAATCCATCTGTGGATGGATGATGATATTCTTTTTGTTTTGTTCATTCTTGTTCTTGTTGTGGTGTGGATGGATGCGGATGTGTGAGGAGGAACTGCTCGGCTCAATCGAGCCGACGCATCGAGCCGTTTTTTTTTTATTCGTCGAACCTAAAAGGTGTCGGACCGGCACCTATTTAATTTTCAAATCAGTACCGTCTCTCTTGTGCCGGTTGAGAAAACTGGCACCTAAAAGGGTTTTCTAACCGGCACCAATTTATGTTTTTTAAGTAGTGCACTCGCCGGCGAGCTAGCTAGCCTGGCAAGTGGTGTACCAGCTGAAGCTCTCCGGCCAAAGCGCAACCTCGCCGTAATCCGAATCTACAGCTTAATTAATTTGCTTGTCTCTATGTTCCACATTATAAGTTATTTTGAATTTAAATAAATTCATATATAGATTCATATATGTGTTTATATATTATCCAAATTCATATGTATGTTAGCGAATCTAGATAAGTACTAGAGAAACCAAAATGTCTTATAACATAGAAATGAGAGAGACCTATATACTATCTCTAGTTTCTAAGCTAGCTGGCCAGCTACCTAATCTCTTCATATCAAAATATTATTTTCTAGTATTTAAAATTTATTATAAAATATAGTAAATTTTGTACATGCATTCTCTTTTTAACTAATCATAACAGTCCTCACATAATTTTTTAGTTTTTTTTGTCTTTTCAACTAATCATATTTTATTATTTTATTATTTCTATTTTTTAATAAACGTGTCTAATTTTAAAAGGTTTTATATTTTAGGATGGAAGCTCTAGCTGCCTACGAGGCTACGACGACTGAACTGACTTCATCGCTGGTTTTAAATACGGCCAAAGTTTTGGACATGATCAAGCCACGGCCAAGCTCTCACCGATCACCAGATCGATCGATTCAGTTCTCACCTTCTCAGAAGAGAGAGGAGCTAGCACGAGGCCTGGTCGATCGACCATGGCTGCTGCTGCTGCTCGTTGGCCTCGCTTCTTCGTGCTACGACCTGCTGTAGCGCTCCTGCTGTTGCTGCTTCTTCTGCCGCTGCATGCTACCGCTGCTTCCCCCACCACTGAAAGCAGCGCCGGCAACGACACTGTTGCTCGACCTGATCCTTGTGAGTAGTAACGATCGATATAATTTATTTTCTTATACTTCTATATATATAAAAGATTCGCGAGTACAAGATAGATTTTCATCCCTCAAGGAACATCTACTTGTTTAATTTCTTGTATTTCACCTAAATAATTACCAAAAGATTGAAAATAAAATGACAAGGTCGATAGATTACTCCATGATTAAACATGTAGATTAAGTTCTTTTTTGAATTGTGAAAAAAAATCAAACTGAAACTTTTTTTGAAAAGCACAAACTGAAACTATTATGTGTACTTTTACAGGTATATTTTTTTATGAATATTCAATTTATAGAAGTCAAATTTAAACTTATATGTTTTGTGAAGCGATATATCTAATATAAAACTATCTTATTAATATTTTTAAAAGATAATAAAGAAACGAAGGGATTTCCTGTCGAGAGATGAACAAATTTCTCCCCACAAATACGCACCTACACCACCAGCAGACAACACGCATAGCATTTACACACATGCAAATACATGCATAATTTAATGAACATATAGATATCTCAACTATGTATTCGTAGACCTCACTAAATTCCTAATAAAATTATACACATTTACCTATAGAAACATTGTCAATATTTATCGATGAATATGTCTACTAATTGAGACATGCAAGAAATTAATAGTTTGTGTTTTTCTAATGTTGTAACTATGTACAAGGGAAAGCCTGAAAGTTTTCTTGATAATCACCCCCAACAAAAAAAAACAACACTTCCAACTTATGAAAACTTCAAGAAATATAACAAACCGACAATAATACATGTTACCTTGTATTCTAATAAACCACCAAGCTAGGGGATTCTCAAGGAAATAAATTTTTCTTGGCTGCTACAACCGCCAAGGAAAATCTTCGAAAAACTTGATATATATTAATCCGTACATGGTCTTTGTTTTAATTTTTTATTTAAAAATAATCAATGGATGCACCTCTGCTCAGTGCTCACCCTGTATCGTGGACGTAGGTTGTCCTGACGGCGAAAGACGACGTGCACCAAGATTTGACGGAACTCATCCTACTCCTCCCCCCTCCCCGTTGCCACACATGCCAAGTAATAAGCTCCTTACTGATCTTAATTATATATCTTGACTGTCAGATTATACAGATGACCACATTATCTTGAATTTTTAGGAGCTGCAGCATGTACTGTACATGGAACTAAATTTGTTTAACTTTTGTTGCTTCATAGGACCTGGAGTACGTGGACGCCAATATTGGAGCAGACCCAAGAACCTGACAAGAGGGAGCCGGCTATAGTTACTTCGATCGGTTTTACTTAACAATAAAATGGAAAACGTACCTGCAGCCCTGCAGGAGCATGGAGTATTTCCATACCACGAAGCAGATCTATACGTGTCATAATGGGTGTTGCAAAAATCTTTTTCTTCAGTTTGTATGTGTGTGTATCTTACGAGGAATTAATGGATTCTAATCTTTAAGGATGTTCACTCATGCATTTTTTTAAAAAATCCACTACAAATAGTCCTGAAAAATTATGATAATGTAAAATATAGTGACATCTATCGGTACAAAAGAAGTCAATTTTAAATTCGATCTATACATTGAGAAGAAAAAAAAAAGATAAATTCAGATGTGAACAATACGCTAATATTCAATCATACATTGAATTTGTCTTTATATATATGTATATATATATCTTCACATGTAGTTTGGACCTAAGATTTTGTGAAAGTGGTATATTTATATATGTTGTATGACTGTTATCCAGTTTTTCAAGAATTTTTGTAACTGTCTAGATGGGTTTTAAACAAACGATGGGACATCCTTTGAGATATCAAAATAATGTCCCCACCCTGCACCCTTGCTCACTCCTTTCTCAATTGTAGCACCTAAGCTTGTTTTCTCTTCTTTTACTTCACATATATCACTACTGAAAAATAGGGGAAAAACAACACTATATGAGTCGCCAAGTCCACAACCGATACCTATCGACGTTTGATATCACGACTACGGTATTTGGACAGTATGGAGATAGTCGGTACCATGGTATATGCGAGATTGAGGTAAAAGAGATGGAGACATGAATTTTTATACAGGTTCGGGCCCCTTATCTGACAGGTAATAGCCCTACATCATGTTGGCCGAAGCCGATATGCTCTTTATTAATCTGGACCACACAAGTACAATATTTGGGATAACCTATCTGACTGTCGTCGACTTGGCGGCATGGATAATCAGCTCATAGTCAATGACAGAGTAGTCTTCCTCCTCAAATATAAACCCGTCGAGATCAGAAATGGCGCTAGATTCCTCTTGCCAACCTTCACAGGCACCGGATGGGGTATATCTAGGCTAATCTCTAATATCGAGATCTGGCGGCGTGTGTTGGCTTGTGTATATGTTGTGTCTTGTTGATCTTGTGGCTTGTCCCCTCTCCTCCTAGGGGGGCTTGTATTTATACCCATAGGTGCCCCCTTGTCCAAGTAAAACTAGGGAGACCAATATGGATACAATCCGATTAGTCCTTATCTTTTCCATATAGAACTCTACTCATCATTCCTTATCTGGAACTCCTATACACGAGGTTTGTTTCCGTATAAGACATGGTATATGGTGGGCCCTGCCGAGTTTAGTCAACTACTATTAGGTATGTGGTATCCATAACCACGACAGATACATATAGTGTTTTTTTTTGTCCGAGCGCAATCTCACGGGACTAATATTTTGAGACAAGCGGCACCTATGTATTGTTATAGGTTCCAGTTGTGTAACCGGCACCGATGACCCTAGTCATTGGTACCATATATATTTCGTGGAGTGGATCATGCTCCTGCATGCATACATTAGTATTGTAGACTCCCCTTCACGTATAAAAGGATGATCCATTCCGTAGAGAGAAGGGTTCCGAAAAATTTATTCCAAGCTCTAGAAGTAGACTAGGTTAGATCTAGCCTTAAAAACTCGTTGAAGAAGTGTTCACCACCTTCCATTTCACCACATCATCCATTGAACAACTCGATCATCTTCCCATATAGTAAGAACATAGGATTATTGTATTACGCTTATCAACAGCCTGAACCTATATAAATCCCCTATTTTGTTCTTTTGTTTCGCACGCTATACTCATGGGCTCTGAACTCGCACCCTACCCGAACTCTCAAGAGAGGGTATCTTGCCTTCTCGCTAGAGGAGTTTTGTACTCCCACATGCACATATACATTTCTAATAGGATTTGAGTGAGAACATGAAATTGCCGTTGACCTTCGTCTTTTTAAGTATGCGTTAAAGGGCGCACGCGTTGGTATACGAGAATGGTGCGCGTACATAGCCGTGTGTGTTACTGTCTTTGATGTAGTCAGAAAAAAGATATATGAAAAAAAATGTGTACCTTAGCACCTTATATTGTTTTCCTCTCCAATGATCGTAAACTTCTTAATCATTCAGAGGATGTTCAGAAAAGATTAGTGCCTTTTAAACCATTGACAAAAAAATAATGTCTTTAAACCACTGATTGTCTCCCATGATGCATCCATGTAAAAGCATATGGCAAAGCCCAAAAATAGCGCGGGGGAGAGGGCCGTGCGTGCTGGCCACAACACACACATATATTCTGCATATCTATGTACACTAGTCAACCCCAACACACAAATGGAGACAGAGATCGAGAAGCACGAACCCCTTCAACCACTGCACGTCCATATTCCGTTCGTTGGATGCCAGCTTTTCTAATATGCCTCTTCTTCTTCTCGCCTTGCCAATTGGCACCCTTCCTCCCTCTCAATCTTCTTCCTAAGCCATTCTTCCCAACATCTGTCAAATCCCCGTAATCTATCTTAGTCGCTGCATTGATCGATCACAATCTCAACAAAAAAGAAATTATGATCTGCGATCAAAGCTAGCTAGCCACTTTCAGATCATCACCCGCCATTAAAATTGCTCCAAGCTCGCTCTCTCACCATCGCCGGCCAACCCAGCTGATCGATCAGACCATTGTCTAGTTCGTAATCGATCCTGCTCGGCATCATCCTGCTCGATCAAGGATTGGTTATCCAAGATGAACGACCTCTTCTCGTCGGGGTCGTTCAAGAAGTACGCCGACCTGAAGAACCAGGCGGCGCTCGACGACATGGAGTCCGGCGGCGGCGGCGGCGGCGGCGGCGAGGGCGCGAACCTGGAGCAGTTCTTCGAGGAGGTGGAGGGCGTGAAGGGGGAGATGCGGGGGCTGGAGGCGCTGCACGGGCGGCTGCAGGCGTCGCACGAGGGGAGCAAGACGGCGCACGACGCCCGCGCCGTGAGGTCGCTCCGCGCCCGCATGGACGCCGACGTCGAGCAGGTGCTCCGCCGCGCCAGGGCCGTGAAGGGGAGGCTCCAGGCGCTCGACCGCGCCAACGCCGCCAGCCGCAAGCTCCCCGGCCGCGGCCCTGGCTCCTCCACCGACCGCACCCGCTCCTCCATCGTCTCCGGCCTCGGCACCAAGCTCAAGGACCTCATGGACGACTTCCAGGTGAGGAAAAAAAACAGCAGCTAAAAATTATGGCTAAAACTTTTATATCTTTGAGTGTATTGTTAGTGGTTTAAAAGTTAATGCTGGAAAATAGACTACAATGTAAAAAACTAAAATCAACTTCAAATTTCAGTTTTAATATTGGTTTCGATCAGTTTTAATAGTGGCTGTTGCGATCAGGTTTCCACCATATTGGTTTGCACATTTCTTTTCACAAGGGGGACGATCGAAAAGATTTTAGAAATTGAGGAAATTTCGGAATCAAACAAGTTAAAGCTTTAACAAATTTATGTTGAACTTCAAAAATGCTTGATTAAAAAAATAAATATTTCAGAGATCATAATGTCCTATCGCGGACTATAGGACAATAATCTCTAAAATTATTGAAATTAATATCCGAAACATTAAACCTGACCGTGATAACTGATAAACCAATAAGAAAACGATGAAAAACAATGCAATACGTGCAGGGGCTGAGGAGTCGGATGGCGGAGGAGTACAAGGAGACGGTGGCGCGGCGATACTACACGGTGACGGGGGAGAAAGCCGAGGAGAGCACGGTGGAAGCCCTCATCTCGTCGGGGGAGAGCGAGACGTTCCTGCAGAAGGCGATCCAGGAACAAGGGCGCGGCCAGGTGCTCGACACCATCTCCGAGATCCAGGAGCGGCACGACGCCGTGAAGGAGATCGAGCGCGGCCTGCTCGACCTCCACCAGGTGTTCCTCGACATGGCGGCGCTCGTCGAGGCCCAGGGCCACCAGCTCAACGACATCGAGAGCCACGTCGCGCGCGCCAACTCCTTCGTCCGCCGCGGCGCCGTCGAGCTCGAGACGGCGCGGGAGTACCAGCGGAGCAGCCGCAAGTGGGCATGCATCGCCATCCTCGCCGGTGTTGTGCTCGTCGTCATCATCGTCCTTCCCATCATCGTCAACCTCCACCTCTTGACCATTAGATAGACTCCCTTTCTTTCAGGAAACTATTCTAATCCCTCTCGAGTGATGTCCTCTCATTACATCAAATAGTTGTAAAAGATTTGATGAAATAGATTAGTATGTGATATATTATCCACAAACATACACATTTAAATTTAATTTCTACAAGTTAAAAACATAATGACTGTATTTCTAGTAAGATATCATACATTGTCTGCTTGCCCCCGCATCGTCCTCCCTCACGGGCGACATGGGAGGCGGAAACCGCCGGCATCGCCGCTCCCCCCTTCCTCTCTCTGCCGCCTCGCCGCCGCTGGCAAAGCCGCGCGGCCACAAGAACGGCGGCGGCGGGGCTTCGTCGCCTTCGTCTGCCTCTCCCGTCGGCGGTGGGGGCCCGCGCGAGACAGCGAAGGCTACCCAGATCCGGGCTGCCGCGGCCGGATCTGGCGGGGAGGCCGCCGGCGGAGGGTCGGCCTGAGGTGGCGGCGGCAGTTGGTGGTGGTGGCGGCGGGGATTGAAGATGGCGGGCTGGCGACGGCAGTTGGTGGCGGCTGGTGGCGGGGGTGACGGCGTTGGGAATGGTGAGGGGGCGCCAGCGGCGGGGATGGAGGTGGCGGCGAGGCTGATGACGGCGGGTGGATCTGGCGGCGAGGCTAGCGACGGCGGCCGGATCCAGGCGTGCTGCAGGCCGATCTGCCCCCCCCCCCCCCCTCCCCGCATGGCGACGGCATCGGGGCGGCTGCGTTGGAGGTGGCGGCGGTTTTGCGACGGCGGCTGCTGACGTCGGTGGCTGGTGACAGCAGCAGCGGCGACGGCGGCCGGCTTGCGGCGGCCGTGACTGAGGAGGCGGCGGCGACGTTGGCAGTGGAGGCGGGGAAGGAGTCAGGTGTGAGGTGACGGCGGCGACGGTGAGGTGGTGGTGACCGTGACGGTGGTGGGAGGAGGCATGGCGGCCTCGGACGGCTTGCCGAGGACATGGCAGACGGCTACATCGGACCGGCGCAGCATCGTTTGGAGGAGGGGTCGGAGACCAGCTTGACGCAGAGTGGTGCAGCCGATGGCAGCAGAGGCCGGCTCGGCGCGAGAGGCGCGAGCGGCGGAGATGGAGTCCGGCTTGGCGTGAGAGGCGTGGCCGATGGAGGGAGGCCGGATTGGCGCGAGAGGCGCGTCCGGTAGAGGAGGCCGGCTTGGCGCGAGAGGCGCGGCCGGCGGTGGAAGAGGCGACCTCGGTGCGTGGTGGAGCTGCCGGTGGGTGTGGCGCGGTCTTCGGCGCACGAAGGTTGGCCGGCGGGGGGCGTCGGTGCAGGGGCCCCACATGTCGGCAGAGTTTGAGTGGTGGTGGAGCATCGGTACATCATCCGTGGATTCGCAGGTGGCGAGCGACGGGTGAAAACCTAGCCCGGCCTTGGCCAGACCGACAACGATGGTTATTTCCCCCTCCTGAGGGCGTTGTCGTGCTGTCTCACCCCTCAAGGGCAGTTGCCGGGCGAAAGTCCAGTCTTGGCTCCTTTGAGCTCTAACGGACGGTGGCGTCGCTTCTTGAAGACGTCGTTTTGGCACCCCCTTGCTGTAGGGCGATCTCGTCTGTGTTCCTTTGTTGGTCTAGCGGCGGCCGGTCACGCTTAGCGACGGCCGGTCCGGTGCTAACCTTCTCCTGTCATGTGTGTTGGCGCTGCTGGTGTGTGGGTGGTGGTATATTTTTTCTTTTTCCTGGTTATGACCCTCCAGGATTGTAATCTTGTAATTTTTTCCTACTCTGTCAATAGAACTCGTTCAAAAAAAAACATAATGACTGTGAATACATGCATACTAGCCATGTTTAATTTGTTTTTTTTTACAACTTGTACAAGTTAAAAACATAATTTCTATTTTTGTGAGGTGATATATCACATATTAATTTTATCTTCACGGTTTTTTATATATCTATTTAAATTATATGGAAAAAACGAAGTGACATCCATACGAGAGTTTAGTGATCATTCCCCTTTCTCTCCACGAAGAGTTTAGTGATCATTCCCCTTTCTCTCCACGTTCTTCGTGTATTGTTCAATTAGTGCGTTATAAATGCTTGGGAGTTTGTTAATATCTTTGTGTGGTGATGGGAGGGGTGTGGAATTGATTGACGAACTGTTTGCACGATCGCATCGCCTTGCTCAAGTTCAGGTCATGCTGGAGATTGCTGGTGAGCTGTCGCCTGCAATTTTCTGCAGGAATTGCATCATTAAACTGAACAGCGTTCAGACTTTTGTAAAACATTACAACCGCGCACGTCGCCTGCATAGATTACATGCAGAGATCATACCATTTTATGAATCGTGAGGAAGACTAGTGATGTTGAGTGATTAAGCATTTCGTGGCAGAATGTCACAAATTTCAGCCTGCGGGCACACCGGGCTATTCTGCAAGACTGCAACCAAGTTTATGGGCCTTATGTCCTGGACCCCGTGCTCGAGTACGAATGGTCTGTGTATTTAAAGGAAATATGAAAATACATATAATACATTATTTCCATTTATTTGCAACAATAAGGCACCAGTGGTCTAGTGGTAGAATAGTACCCTGCCACGGTACAGACCCGGGTTCGATTCCCGGCTGGTGCATTTTGTTCCTCCCTTCATTTTTATCACTGGCTTAATCGTTTTCTGAAGATGTTCACCTAGTCAGCCATATTTCTGTGCTCATTTCTGAAGATGATCACCTATTCACCTCTGTCCCGCTGTGACTATCTTTTTTTTTCTCTCACTGGCTTAATCGTTTTCTGAAGATGTTGAGATGTTCACCCTCTCAACCCTTTTTGTGCTCATTTATGTCCCTGTGACTATCCACTGCCAATCAAAAGTCAAGACAAAAAAGACTCGCCGAGGAACGCCTCAACTTAGTACCACTCCATAACACTATCATATCCTATGTTTTATGATAGAATACAGCCTCCAATATCAGACCTTCAAAACATGTAGAAGCAGGACCGTTTGAACTGATCAAAACAGGCAGCAATAAACAACCCAAATCAGAAATCACCCCCCTACTGTTCTTGCATCCGTTTAACTATAAATTCTGACGAGATTTCTTACACTGGTATCAGCAACAGCTTATAGCTCAGCTCGGTTCAGTTCAGTTCATTCTTGCAAAGTTACATAGAACAAGAAGAAATTGAGCAGCAAATATATATATCTTCTCTTCACCGTCCGTTCTTGGACAGATTGAGCTAGCTAGCCAGCCAGCCATGGCCATGGGTTCCATCAAGGTGCAGGCCGTGATCCTCACCTACGTCCTCCTCGCCGTCCTCCTCCACCCGCTGCTCTGCCAGGGCTCGCCGGCGGCGTCTCTCCTCGAGGCCCAGACCAGCGACGGTAACAAGAGAGCTAGCTATAGCCAGCTAGCTGCTCGATTTCTTCTTCTCCATTGTTTTTCTGAACTTGGTGAACCTGAATGTGCTCTGTTTTTTCTTTTTTGTTGTTGTTGTTGTTTTTTTCAGGTAAAACGATCGACCAGGGCATCGCGTACATTCTGATGATCGTGGCTCTCGTCGTCACCTACCTTGTCGGATGAGTGATTCAGTGGCCCGATGATGCAATGCTGCCTGCTGCTTTTTTTTTTGTTTCTTTTGTACACGTTTAATTGTAATGTTCTTTAAGTTGTACAAATTCATTTTGATCTGTCAATGAGACACGGCAAGACATGAGTAAGCATTAGTACTGAAAGTTTATGCGGTGATGACAAGTTCTTGATTTCGTGTCATACAACTGGAATGACAGAGGATGATCGATCGACTTACTTAACGGGCGATTAGTTGCGCAAAAGTTTTATTCGTGTCATACAATGGAAGGACAGAGCAAATGACGATAGGCTGCATGTCTTCGCCATCTCTTGAGGTTTCCTGCCACCACAACACACAAACACAAACGATCAAAAATCGTGAAATGGTTCTATGGTTGATCTTGAGGAGAATTCGAATGTTTTTGGTAAATTCAAATTTAGACCCATAAATTCGATTAAACTTTGTTGAAATTTCCCGGTTCTTGACATCTGATTGGACCCTGCGACGTCCTAATTATTTGGTTTTATTATCCCATTTTTTAAAATATAGCGATGTGAGCTTTTCGACATTAAGTTCGACGATTAGTCTTAACAAAAAAAGTATAAGTGAAATGAGGATATGGAAGAGGTTTATAGAAATTCAATAAATATGGATATAGATTCATATAGTATGGTGTGGATGTGGTATCCTAAAATCTAGCAGATGCGGATTATACAATATTTTCATCTGAATATCCGGTAGGTTATTTATCGGGTAATCTGAAATCGTCAACCCATGTAACCATTTTATTTGTTCCATATAACATGAGTTGACTCATTCAATGGCCTAATTCATGAGTTAACTCAGGCTCCTCAATCTGATATTCTCACCATCTCATCTCATGACCACTTGTAACCACCGCTACTATAGCCTTTGCTATGTATTGTTGTTTTATATTTGTAACTTATTAGTATATATGGACATCATATTTAGACGTGCTATGTGTCCTAGGATGTGTGTGCTATCCTGTGTTGATTGATTGGGTGCTTGTCTTGAACGTGTTAATGCCAGCTTTGACTTTCAAATCTTACTAATCTATTATGTATAAACATTATGGATTCATATTAAGTACTTAAGAAAATACTACCTCTATCCCAAAATATCAAATTTTTGGCTGTGTCTGGACAAACGTATATCCATATACATAACCAAAAAGTTGTCATATTTAGGACGGAATAAGTCTACATAACCCCCAACCTATTGTCAGGAGATTACTTAACCCCCTCACCTTACAAGCCAGGTATTTAACCCCCAATCTTACTAAAATCATTTAATTAACCCCTTATGGTGGTTTTGCTCCCTAGTTTTGCCTTGCTGGCATGCCACGTTAGACAGATGGATTGACAGGCATGCTGTGACTGTCACCTGATTTTCTCAGGCAAGGCCTTCTACTCTACCCGGTCCTCTATTTACATTGAAAATCTATACCATTTTTATGGTTCATAACATTGCCATTGAAGTCGGAATTGCATACATGTGCAAGAATTCAGTAGCACGAGCAAAACAAGAGTGCAAAACCACCGCAAGGTGTTAATTAAACGGTTTTAGTAAAGGTTAGGGAGTTAAATACCTGGTTTGTTAGGTGAGGGGGTTAAGTAATCACCTGGTAATAGGTCGGGGGTTATATAGACTTATTCATATTTAGGAGAGAGATAATAGTTGTTATGTTGGTCCGTTGATTGATTATTGTTTTTTGTCCATTGTATCGCTAACTTAATGTTGCATCGATTGTATATATACGCAATACCAGCAATTTTGATTCGTTTCTGAGTGGAGTCTGCTTTGACTCTGCAACATTACTGACATAAAAAAACAATCTGTTATGCATTCACATCCGCAACATCCACATTCGCTATGAATTAATGCTCTTAAAAAAATATGGTATATGATATGGTATCATCACTATCCGAATTTGCTTAACTTTCATCCTAAAAAAATTACAAGATTCATATTTTTTATTGTGACTTAATTTATCACTAAAGACAGTTTAAACATGACTTATATTTTTTTTAGTAAAATTTTAAATAAAACACTTTAAGAATATTCAAAAATAGCTCAAAACTTCGTATGTGAGGGTTAACACTTAATACCAAGGTTTCATGTTTAGGAAACTTACCGAACGGTTCCAAAGTAGGATAGTCTTTCGACATAATATATTAGAAATTATTTTATATAGCTGTAATTATAGAGATGGAGAAAAAAATTTGAGCTCTGCCCCCTTCCCGCTATTTGAAGTCATAGTAACCTAGTTTTTTTCCTTGTCTTTTGTTTTCCTCCTTTCTTGACATAACTCGGTATAACTGATTGTGTTGTGTAACAATATTCTTTTCTTTTAATATATTGACGTGTAATTCTTTTACGTGTTCGAGAAAAAAATTATACAGATTAAGCCGAAATTTGTTTGAGTTTCAGTTTCATTTTCTATCATTCCCCTTTTTATTTCCTTAATTAACACTCGACGAGAACCACCCTCAGTTCCATGATTGGACTCCTGAAACGGTTTTGCTATAAATAAATCTTGCGACAGATTTCTTGTTACATATCATTCGATTTTTGGACCGTTTGATTGCGTCAAGATTCGTGCTTACACGGGTGGGAAAATAAAATGTGCGTGTTAAACGTTTAAGCGAGGAGTCGACCGCACGATCTCCTGTTGCCGAACAAAGGACTTTTACCAACTGAGCAGGAACCAATATTGTTTTTGAGTCCAAAGAACAAACTTATATACTACTTACAAATTAATTACAGTGTAATTACTACATAATTACACTATAACTACTGAAATTACAATGTAATTATACTAAAATTACAGTGTAACTTTTTAATGCATATGTTGATGACATTTTTATTTTTTTATTAAACCTCCTTGGACTTATAACTGTTAGATTGAGTCCGTTGTTACGATTAAGCTAGCCCGTTTCCCTCTGCAACGTGACGCACATCCATATGTGGAAAAATCCGAGTGAGATGAATGAAAAAATCATTCGAATGATTGCTAGGCACTCCCATTAGGCCTGACGTTTCTTCTAGAAGAACAAAAGAGGCGTGCGACCCACAGAATCTGAACACGCAGCCAAACAAGTGCCCACTGCTTGACTGGCTGACGGGACATGACGCCCAACGCCGCGCCGCCAGCAAACACTGAAACACACTCCCACCTCTCTCTCTCTCTCTCTCTCCCTCTCTCTCTCTCTCTCCCTCTCGCACCATCTCCACGACCAAACCCACCGCCACGCCGATATAAGGACCCGTTTCGGGTACTTTAAATCAAAGGATTTATATAGAAATTTCATAGAATTTAAGTCCTATAGGAAAATTTTCTATTTGGCCCTTTGATTCAAAGGATTGAAGTTTTTCAAATCCTATAAAATTCCTATGGAATAGCATATTGCATGTGAATTTTGGAGGAAATTTAGCATGAGCTCCAACCTCATGGAAAATTTCCTTTAAGTCTATCTCTCTCATCCGATTTCTGCGTTTTTTTTGCGCTCCAATCAAACGACCATTCCTGTATTTTTCCTATGTTTTGCAATCATCTGTTTTACACTTCAATTCCTGTCAGAATCCTATATTTTTCCTATTCCTCCGTTTTTTCTACCCTGCGATTCAAAGGGGCCCTTAGTTTACAACTTTTTCCCAAAAACATCATATCAAATCTTTAGACACGGAGCATTAAATATAGATAAAAATAAAAACTAATTGCACAGTTAGGGGGAAATCGCGAGACGAATCTTTTGAGCCTAATTAGTCCATGATTAGGCATAAGTGCTACAGTAACCGACATGTGCTAATGACGGATTAATTAGGCTCAAAAGATTCGTCTCGTGGTTTCTAAGCGAGTTATGAAATTAATTTTTTTATTCGTGTCCGAAAACCCCTTCCGACATCTAGTCAAACTAAATAGGCCCTAAAAGGTGATCATAGGCTCATAGCCTTATAGGATACATAATATAAGAGATTTTATACGGATTGAACACTTTCTAGGACTAAGAATCGGGTAAAGAGTTTATTCAGAATCATAGTCTTGGGAAGTATCCCATCCATCCTTAATATCTTAGGTAGTACTCCCTCCGTTTTTTAATAGATTACGCCGTTAACTTTTTCTCACATGTTTGACCATTCGCCTTATTCAAAAATTTTATGCAAATGTATAAGATATAAATCACACTTAAAGTACTATGAGTAATAAAACAACTCATAACAAAATAAATTATAATTACATAATTTTTTTGAATAAGATGAATGGTCAAACATGTGAGAAAAAGTCAACGGCGTCATCTATTAAAAAACGGAGGTAGTATATTTTAGGACAGAGGAAGTATGTGAAAAGAAAAGAAAATAACTTATTTAATCAATTTATACTTCTATATACTACGACCTATTTATATTTTTCTCTAATTATATTTAATAAAATATTTAAAAATATAGTATAAATTGAGTCACCCATGTAAAAATCATACGCCCCCGCCTCTGAGTCTCTGACCTCCCGCACGGCCGCACCCCGCGCTTGACCCGTCGCGCGCCACGCCACGCCACGCCAGCCACCGCAGCAGCAGCAGCGCGAACGACTAAACCCCACCGGCGCCGTACGTACGTCAAACACCAACCATCCATCCCCGTCTCCTCCTCCATATAATCGCAAGCCGCCGCCACCAACGCGAGATCGAGTTAGCCCGGCCGGCTCCTCGTCTCCCTTCCCGTGTCGCCTCGCCGCGCGCCGCCGCCCGTGTGTACGTACGTTACGTTACTTCCTCGTGCCGTGCGTTGCTGAATACTAGTATGACGGTTCGCTCGGAGACGGGCGGCGCGGCCACCACCACCACCGTCGTCGTCGCCGCCGCCGTCGACGCGCCGCCCCCGTGGCGGCTGCGGAGGCAGCGCTCCGTCCCGGCCGCCGTCGTCGCCACCTTCGCCCCCTGCGTCGGCATCGGCGGTCACCACGCGCCAAGAAGAGTCCTTCGCTTGGGAGGGAATAAGGCGGCGGCGGCGGCGGCGGTGCACCACCGCCGCGGCGAGGCGGAGGAGGAGGGGGAGTACTTCGATTCCGGCGGCGGCGTGGGTGTCCTGCGTGCGCTGTGGAGGAGGATCGTGAGGGGGAGGAGGTGGAAGGTGATGAGCCGGAGCGGGTCGTCGACGGCGAGGAGGAGGGAGCAGTACGCGCAGGACGAGTACGAGCAGAACTTCGACGAGGGCGCCGCCGCGGCCGGCGGGGAGCCCGAGCCGGAGTACCTCTCGCGCTCCTTCTCCGCCCGCTACGCCGCCGCCGGCGGCGGCCGGCGATCCGCCGGGCTAGCGCGCTTTGGCGTTTCGCGCGCTAATTAATTATTAATCGATGTCGATGGTTTAAAACTGTCGATGGCGGGTAATTCGAACCTCGTTTTGCTTTGCTCTCGATATGTAAATTAAATTTGTGGAATGAATTATGCTGTCCTAATCCATCGATCGAAATGAAGATGAAGATGAACAGTATGGACACTGATGATACTTTTAATATTACTTTTCTGCTTGAATTATGTTTTGTTTTCTTTTTTGCCTCATTCTTTGATCAAATCTACTTCATCTGTTTGACTGTTTGCTCTGAGCAGCAGATAGTCGAAGATAGCAAGAATAATATCTCTCAATTCAAATATCCAGAAGAAAAAAAAAAGATCATCCATTGCAAGTTCTGTTCAGGCCTGATCATATACACTTTCAGATAACCCATGGCTATGATCAAGAGCCGTTTTTATTTTTCCAGTGCAACCTCTCAATTCAAGCAACGTGTTCAACAGTGAAAGGCATAGCGTAGACAGGTAGACTAATGCCATTTCTGCCTCGATTAATCTTATATTAGTCTCCACCACAACATCAAGAAAATCTGTGATATTAGTATTTTGGATGGACGAAAGTCGTATGTGCTTTTGACTGCTGACAAACAGCCTCATATTATTGGGTGTAGTTGTTCATTCAGCTGAATTTTCGTACGGTCATATCTGGAGTTGTCAAATGCTCGCCAGTACTACTTATCCATAGTTCCCAAAAGTTTTTTGCATTGTGGTGAATATATAATTAGTCCCGGATTTGGAAGAATAACCACCAGTGATTGTAAGATGCTTTGACGTCCTTGCCTTAATTACCTCAGAAGTTGAAAATTTTTTGTTTACCTCAGGGTTCAGGAACACGTGAATCATCCTTCAACCCAAAAAATTCTTGTCACGATAAACAGTACTATCATAGACTTGATTGGTTCTCTTATAGTATGAGTCTACTACCAGTCTACCACCATGTTTAAATCGTGAGACCGGTTTACAATTATTATCAAAATCTTGAGGAAATGAGAGTTTTCCGTTTACTACCCCTAACATGCTAAACCAGCCGTACGTTACCCTACCTGTTTTTTTTTTCGTGTTACACGAAACAGCTCCCATGAAGTCCATGATACAAACCTGAAAAACAAAGGTTCCATGAAGTAGGTAATTTACTTAAGAACACCCCTAAATAAATACTAAAAGAAGTGATCCAGAGAGATAGGAGACTGGGAAGAGAGAGAAACCAAGATTATGAATTACTCCATGCTCTAAAATAAATAAATCAAGTATGTGAGATGACCTGTCTATATCCATAGTAACAGAATATGTCACATGTCATACTAGGTTTGTTTATTTAGTATAGGGTGAGTAATTACAAGGAACAGTATAAAACAAAATCAGAGATCATGAAGAACATCAGCAGTGGCTTAGGAAGAACAGGAGGAACAAAAGGCCCCGGTTTCTGTTCAAGTGTTCAGTTGGATCCCTGGCCTCTGCTGCTGCAGCAGCCTAAAGACGGGAGCATCTATCCATTTATCAGGTGATTTTTAATAAAAAGTCGGGTGATTTTTTAGATTTATTTTACCCTTTATTTACATCCAACGGATTACAAAAGAAAATAACAAATACATATTAACTTACATACTATCTTTACCAAAATTACAATGCACTTGCATGTAATATCAACTGAATATACACATGTAAATTTAGTTATATAGGACCGTAATTTTATATTTTAAAAAAATAATAAATACATATTTACTTACACATTATTTTTGTCAAAATTACAGTGCACTTACATATTAAATCAACTAAATTTACAAATGTAATTTTAGTTATATAGGACTGTAATTTTATATTTTAAGTACATATTTACTTACACATTATTTTTATCAAAATTACAGTGCACTTACATATCAAATCAACTAAATTTACAAATATAATTTTAGTTATATATGACTGTAATTTTATATTTTATAGAAAATAATAAGTATATATTTACTTACACATTATTTTTATCAAAATTATAGTGCATTTACATATCAAATCAACTAAATTTATAAATGTAATTTTAGTTATATAGGACTATAATTTTATATTTCACGACGACGAGAGGGACGGTGTCGCTCACCGATCAGTGTTGGCCGTGCTGTCGACGGTTGGCTCACCGGTCAGAGGCCACTTGTCACCGTGCTTCTCCAATCTCTATCATCGTGCGCGCTTGGGCTAGCTGGACACAACGGCCGATGTGCTTGTGTCCGATGTGCCGGTCGGCAGATGAGCTGAATAAAAGGTGAAATGTTAGCAAAAAAAAAATCACGCGAGTGATCGATAGCAAAATGCTCCCAAAGACAATCCGTACACCACGGCGTGGGCCACCAAACAGCCCGGCCCATACATGGTGTCCGTTGGGCTGCCAGCCCATCTATGACAGCTGGGCCCGGCTGGCCGGCCAACGCGGCGTCACCCCCGGACGGGCCGGCTAGTGGTCAAAGCCGGCAACTAACCGCGCGTCTTCCTCGCATCAGCCGCGTCATTTCTCACGTTTTTCCCACGTCAACCGACCTCGCGTCCGCGTCGCACGCACGGACACGGGCTACGCAAGCTACAGTTTACACTAGTAGCTTTCGCCTCTCTAGAAGGAAAATGACCTCACAGAATTAAATTAACTTATTAACTAATGGCCTCTTCTTCTTCTTCTTCTTCTAGGTTCTCTGACCCCTCCGAATCAAACGTGGCGGCTGACGACCTTCCTTGTGCAAGTCTTCCTCCTCCTCTTCTTCTTTTTCCTTCTCATCGGTCCTTATATATACATCAGCACGAGCTCGCCATGGCATCATCAGCAATTCCCAGTTCATTCCTGCCTCCGTCTCCAGTAGCTTGCTTTGCTCGCAGATTGTTCCTTTTTTCTTTTTCTCCGGCGACTCGAGATCGTGGCTAGCTAGAGCCTAGATGGCCTCTTCCATGGCGGGCGCGGCGGGGGAGGAGAAGGCGGCGGCGGGGGCGGGGCGGCGGGGGATGATCGTGATCGACCGGCAGGCCGTCGACCGGGGGATCGCCTACGCGCTCATGGTCGTCGCGCTCGTCGCCACCTACGCGCTCCACTAGCTCGATCAATCGGCTCAGGGAGGAGGAGGAGGAGAAGAAGAAGTCGTTCCCCTTCCCCTACCAACCTGCACTTCGATCGATCGATGCCAAAAGTCTATAACTATAGAACCTGATTCTTTCTTATTCAATTCTTCTTTTTAGAGAAGGTTAATTAATTGTGTGTGTGTGTGTGTGAGAGAGAGAGAGAGAGAGAGAGATCGATGGATAATTTGGATATGTACACTATACCAAGTGGGTTAATTAACTGGATGTACTCTTCTGCATATTTTGGTGTTCATTGGTAACAGTTTGGCATTGGAATGTCTGGTAAATCGATGATTTACCCCTTTCGCCTCCAAATACAGATTTAAATATTATTTTGTACTAGAGAAGTAGAAATGTAGTGATATTTTCGGGAGCAGTTGATAATCTGAATGCTCTGCCACATCTTCACAGGTTGAACAATCAAATTACGTATTGGCTGGTTATACTTGTATCTTTTCTTGAGTCGTCGTCATTCGTCAACACGCTGAATATTCTTTGGAGTCCTCTATAGATAGTAGAGCCGTAGAGGGGCGATGAGAGATGGAAACTTTCTTTTGAACGGGCAAAAAGTCTGCCATTTCATTTATAGGAGAGAGAAAAACACGGACCGTTCTTACAAGAGGGCCAGAGTAAAAAGCGAAAACATGATACAATAATTATTAGGTAACCGATGGCAACAAGTATTTGCAAACGGTGGAGGATCATCTAATTACCCTCCCAAACTATCGCAGTCATCTGAATTACCCCATAAACCATTAAACCGGACATTCTTCACCCCTAATTATGCAAACCGGACGAATTACCCCCCTCGACCCAATCCACGGTAGTTTTGGTCTACGTGGCGTACACGTGGCAGTCCAGTCAGCGTTTTTTAAATTAAAAAATTATGAGACCCACATGCCATACACTTCTTACTCTCTCCCTATTCTCTCTCTCACTCTTTTCTCTCGCACAGCGAGGACGAGCGCGGGGATGGGCGGTCGGCGAGGTGAGGCGAGCACGGTGGCGTTGACGTCGGCGCGGAGGCAGAGGCGGCGCGGACGGCGGAGGAGCATGGCGGCGGAGCTGTGTGGCGGCGGAGGAGCGAAGGTGGAGGAGGAGCGTGGCGGCGGAGAAGCGGAGGCGGCGGAGGAGCGGAGGCAGCGGAGGAGGTGGAGGCGGAGTCAGTTGTGGCGGAGGCAGAGGCAAGGTTTGTGGTGAGAGCGTGCAGCGGCGTGGTTAGCGCTTTGGCACAGCAACAGGGAGGAAGGCGCGCGCAGGTGCATGCATGAGCAAGAAGAGGAGAGAAGGAGGTGGCGGAGGAAACAGCGGCTGCGACCCGCCGGTGATCGATGCGCTGTCCATGGACGGCGGCCTCCGCGAGGTGTCCCTCTCTGTCGTCTTCTCCGTCTGGTGCCTCCTCCTCCTCCTCCTCCTCCTTTGCTCCCAGTTCCTCCACAGCCAGACCGACCCTTCAGGTACCCACGAACGATCCACCTCCTCTCATGGATCGATCAATGTCATGTCACCCTGGCGTTTGATTGATCGCTTCTTTGTAGATTTCTATGATGACGTCGAGGACGGAATGCGTGAAAACTACTGCAAGGTAATGCCGCTGGAGGCCTACATTTTCCCAACTGAGTATAACGCCTCTGCGGCCGCGCCGACATGCCAGCCATCGTTGCACCCCCCGGAGCCACAGCAGGAAACCGACCACCGGAGCCTGGAGCCGTTCAACAACACAACCGGCGGCAAATCGTCCGCGGAGGCGGCGCTCGATTAGCTCGACGAGTTCCAGAACCGGATCCTGCAGGGCAAGGCCGAGAACGGCTGCGTCCCCGACGGCGCGGCGGCCCACCGGCTCGAGCCAAGCGGCGGGGAGTACAACTACGCGGCGGCGTCCAAGGGCTCCAAGGTGCTCGCCCACAACCGGGAGGCCAAGGGCGCCGCCAACATCCTCGGCGCCACGCTCCTCCGCTACCACACAGCTCCGCTGCCACGCTCCTCCACCACCTCCGCTCCTCGGCCGCCACACAGCTCCGCCACCACGCTCCTCTGCCGTCCGCGCCTCCTCCACCTCCGCGCCGACGTCTGTGCCGCCGCGCTCGCCTCACCTTGCCGACCGCCCGTCCCCGCGCTCGTCCTCGCCGTGCGAGAGAGAAAAGAGTGAGAGACATAATAGGGAGAGAGAGTAAGAAGTGTATGACATACGGTTTCTATAATTTTTTAATTAAAAAAACGCTGACTGGACTGCCACGTGTACGCCACGTAGACCAAAACCACCGTGGATTGGGTCGAGGGGGGTAATTCATCCGGTTTGTATAGTTAGGGGTGAAGAATGTCCGGTTTTGTGGTTCAGGGGGTAATTCAGACGATCAGGCGGTAATTCGCACTTTTTCCTTAAGATAAAGATAAAGATAAAGATTAAGTGTTTCACATAAAACGATGTGTTAATAATGTGTGATTAATTGAGTTTTAATTATTACAAACTTAAAAAATGGATTAATCTGATATTTTAGAACAACTTTCATATATAAAGTTTTCACACGAAACGCACCATTTAGCCGTTTAAAAAGCGTGCCATTTTAATCCAAAGTTTATCCTCCATTTTCATTAGAAACGAACGGGGCCACTGGACCTCCTCCCTGCCTTGCACATTGCCATGATGGAATGGAATCCGCCACCTGATTCGCCGTGCTGTATGCTCCATTGAAAATTTTATCAGTCCGCTGTAACCAAATGCCTCAGGTCGTGTATATGATTATTCCGTCGAAAATCTTTTTTTTTTTCTCCTTTGCCATCTCCTTTCGGCAAGTTCACAACCATGAAGGCTGGAAACATTTATCTGTCTCACATTTTCAAAACCATGAAGGATAATGGACATGAAGTCACTTGATGCATAAACTTAGACAATAATGTTCCTTCATTAGAAGAGTCTCACATTTTTACGCGGATAGATACAATGATGATCTTTAGGCAATGATGAATCCAGAAAATTGATTTGTTGGTGTTATAACGTGTTTATTGGTGTCATAGTATGTTAATTATGCTTAGATCATGGTGGTATAATATATGGATAAACAGTTTTCCTATAAATTTTGCAAAAAGTCATCGGTGCCGTTTGACACTGGTCATTACACTACACTGTAGATCCGCCCTTGTCTTTAGGCCACGTTTGTTTCCCATTAAGATACAAAGTTTGCATTAGTTTCCGTTAACACTTTCGGAATCTTGCTATTTAAGAGTATTAAACATAAATTACTGACAAAATCCATTTCATAACCCCTAGGCTATTTTGCGAGACGAATCTAACGAGATATATTAATCCATGATTTGCTACAGTGATGCTACAGTAATCAGCCGCTAATTATGGATTAATATACATCATTAGATTTATCTCGCAAAATAGCCTAGGGGTTATGGAATCGGTTTTGTCGGTAATCTACGTTTAATAATCCTAAATAGCAAGATTTCAGAGGGCGATTTAATAGCCCGGAGGATCAAACAAGGCCAATGTATTTTGTACAAAATTTTTTTTGTGTAGAAGTTGTTTTAAAATATATTAGATAAACCCACATTTTAGTTTAAAATAATTAAAATTTAATTACATGACTTCTTTCGCTTTACATGCCCGTATTTAATCCTCATCTTCATCACTACCAAAAGAAGCCTCTCCCTTCGTTCTCAAATACTGACACGCTGTTAACAACATATCTGTAACTTTGCGTTGTTTTTTCCAGATTATTTACTGGATTATCGGCACATGTTTATTTGCTCTATACTTTGAAAATATGCTTTTTGAAAAAAAAAACTTTCTTCTACTACATTTTTTAGATCAGCAGTTCTAAGATATTTAAAGTCTTTTCTTTAAAAAAATATTTGATTTAACCATCTAACTAATTAAGTAGATAACATGCAACGATAATTTATTTAATAATCTAAATCAAACATGGCCCTGAAATTTGTACGATTATACTATGACCCTACACATTTCCTTTAAAAAAAGAGCACCCATAATGACTAATCATAGACTAATTAGACTTGAAAGATTCGTCTCATGATTTTTATGCAAACCGCATAATTAGAGCAGGTACAATAGCAGGCTATAAGCCAGCTGCAAACTTATTTTAAGGAGATAAATAAGAAGAGAGAAGAGCAGCGGGCTACAGATTTGTAGCCAGCTGTAGCACGGACTCCAAGATGCAGTGTGTGTATGATAAGTGGTACTAGGTATTAATAATGTAGTATGTACTTATTGTATGAATGAGCTATTAGATTGGTTATAGATGAATTGTAGCTACTAGTTGGCTATACTATTAAACTTGTTGTTATTTTTTTTATCTATATTTAATATTCTATTCCAAAATTTTTCCGGAACCACAGGGCCGAAGTCAACAGACCCCCAAATCCCCAATCCACATGCCATCTTACATCCGGGACCCGTTAACCCGTTTGCCCACCACCGTCCTCCTCCTCCGACCCTTCTCCCCCATCTCGCGCCCTCCTCCTTCCCGGCGCCGCGTCCTACTCCCCCTCCCCGCAGGCGACACCGCGAGAGCCGAGAAAACGAGGCCTCGCGCCGCCGCCTCTCTCCACTCCGGCGCCCCTCCACCCACGACGGCCTCACAGCCCACCTCTACCGCCGCGTCCCCGCCGTAGCCGGCCGTCGCGGGCGCCACAATGGTACGTGCCCCCCCCCAACCCCCCCGCGGCTCTCTCTCGCTCTCGCCTTCCCCCAGGCTCGCGCTGTTTAGGTTTCGCCGCGAATGGGGGATCGGTGTGGCGAGGCGAACCGTTCGACGGCCGCGCCTCGCCGCGCCGTGCCGAGATCCGGTGGCTGGAGCGTCGAATTCCGCGTGGATCTGGGGTTTTTTGTTTGTTGCGTACTGACGTGATTGCATTCTCGCTCGTGTTCTCCTGTGATTTTTTTTCTCTGGCGGCGAACTGGCGATGGCTGTGAATGTTGGCAGCCGCTCAGGTTGGATATCAAGGTAACCACCGCGCGTCTCCCTCGGATCCGCTTAGCTTAGTTTGGTTTGTTTAGCTGATAGTGATCGTCTGTTTGATGGTTGGATCAGAGGAAGCTCGCGCAGAGGTCGGAGAGGGTCAAGTCCGTGGATCTGCATCCGACCGAGCCATGGTGAGTGGGCAAGTTTGTGTGGGTGACATGGTTTTGGGTTTTGGGGGTGCTAGGGATGTAATGATTGTGTTGTTCAAAGTCACATGAATAACTTCCTCCGGTGTAATGCCAGGATTTTGTCGAGTCTGTATTCAGGGAGCGTCTGCATCTGGAACTACCAGACGCAGGTACGTGACTGTTCACAGTAGCTTAATTCGTCATTTTCTGTCTAGTTTCATGAATTTTATGAGATGATGATTATCTACTACCAGCACGATGAGCTTTTGTACTGCAAAATGGATATTCCCATCCATATGTAAAATTCAAGTTACATTTGGATTTAGTGTGCTTGTAGTAGTGAACTTTGATGGTATGCAGTGATAGTAAGTTGTTCCGGAGAAAAAAGGGGGGGGGGGTAAGCATAGTGATGAATGAATGAATTCTTAAAACCTAGCGAGGAATTCTTCAATGCATTGTAGAAAGGATATGGTCAAAACAGAAGTAACAAGGAGTCAATGAACTTCTAGATGATTGTTTCAGATGTTCGAGTGTTAGCTACATAATTGTGACTTCTAAAAAGGTTTGCAAACTGTATAGAGTAATAAAACAGGAGGAGGAGGTAAAACATAAAAGTAAAATCTAGTATTTTCAGTATAGTGAAATCGATAGAAGGAAAAAGAAACATACATATTTTCAGTATAGTTACTCTTACTGTTAAACTGATTATAATATATTCATCTATCCCCAGACGATGGTGAAATCATTTGAAGTCACAGAGTTACCAGGTATGCTTTCCCACGTCATCGCTTACTTCTGTTCCTTGATATACCATCTTGCTAATATAATCATCCCCATTTCAGTTCGGTCATCTAAATTTATCGCACGGAAACAATGGATAGTTGCTGGTGCCGATGATATGTTCATACGTGTGTACAATTACAATACGATGGATAAGGTCAAGGTTTTTGAAGCTCATACGGATTACATCAGGTGTGTGGCTGTTCACCCAACCCAGCCTTTTGTGCTGTCATCATCTGATGACATGCTGATCAAGCTTTGGGATTGGGATAAGGGTTGGATGTGCACTCAAATCTTCGAGGGGCATTCTCACTATGTTATGCAAGTCACATTTAACCCGAAAGATACCAATACTTTTGCTAGTGCTTCCCTTGATCGCACAGTAAAGGTTTGTGATTTTGTTCCTTACATTTGCTTGGCATAGTTTTTGCATTTCTAACATTTCTTGGTCTGGATTTGAATGTGGTGCCCTTATTTAATTTCAGGTATGGAGTCTTGGTTCCCCTGATCCTAATTTCACATTAGATGGCCATTCAAAAGGTGTCAATTGTGTTGATTACTTTACTGGTGGTGATCGCCCATACTTAATTACAGGCTCTGATGATCAAACCGCGAAGGTATGCCATCTGCAGTGAATTATCGTGTGAGTATATTGGACATTGTTACGAGACACTTCGTTGAATCAGGTTTGGGACTATCAAACGAAGAGCTGTGTTCAAACGCTTGAAGGACATGCACATAATGTCTCTGCTGTTTGTTTCCATCCGGAGTTACCTATAACACTTACTGGCTCCGAGGATGGGACAGTTCGCTTGTGGCACTCTACTACCTACAGGTTCTCTTGCTCTCTCCCCCTATAATAGAACTCATAGGATACTTCATGCATAGTTTGAATTTTGAGATAAATTCATGTACTTGTTACTCTCATAGATGTGATGTTCTATTGATGGCAATAAAAACTCTGTTCGGTGGCATAAAATCTGGTTCTTAAATAATCATTGGTGTGTCATATCTATTGATGACCTTACAAGTGTAGTTTCTGGTCTCCATGTCCTTGTTTCTTTTGGAATTAGTTTGTGCATTTAGTAATTTATTATTTAGCCATGTAATTTTGATTGATGCAGCATTACAGTCTTTAATCTAGATATAAGCTTTTGAGTGAAAGTGTTACATTTACGCCTATAGCATAAGTTTGTATTACAACTCAGTCCTATTTTAGTAACAATATAGGTCAATTTACAGCTTGAAGTACGACTAACTAAGAGGAATATTTTCTATTAACCCTGTCCTGACTGGTATCAGACCTGGTAGTGATGGTTGGGGGTTAAACTAAGAGAATTTGGAGTTAATGGAAACATGAAAATATTCAACTATACTACTTCCTAACAATTGGTGATCTCTGAAGTGAAGCACTGTGTCCAGAGAATTTGAAGCTACCATTTTCCTGTGGTGTTGAGAACAAGGAGATTCTCTTGCCATATTATGAAACTACTTCGTCCGTTTCATAATGTAAGACTTTCTAGTATTGTCCACATTCATATACATGCTAATGAATCTATATATATTATAATGTCTAGATTCATTAGCATCTATATGAATATGTGCAATGCTAGAATGACTTACATTGTGAAACGGAGGGAGTAGCATTCTACACCAGGATATAGATAAACATTTTTTGAGGGGTGCGACCAGGATGCACATCACGCCCATGCCACAAACGTTCACTTTCGCGTCGCAGTTTACTATATATGCTTATGCTTAGTTGGCACCTGGCAAGATATTCTTATCTCTGTGCATTGGTTTGTTCTTTTCTTTTTCTTTTTTGGAAGACTGCTTTGGATTGTTCCATTTTTGTCAATCATTGTTTTAGGCCTTTTATTCTTACTGTAGACAGGAATAACACGTTGCTTGTTTCTTACAGGCTTGAGAACACTCTTAACTATGGCCTTGAGCGAGTGTGGGCTTTAGGATACATGAAGGGTTCAAGAAGGTAATGGAAATACTACACTCTTACTATTCGGATGCTATGGACTTACGGTTAATATCAAGTGCCGTGATACTAAATATCACCTATTCATGTGGTATTGAAGTTCCCCACACCCAAAATGAATCAAAGTATAAAGATTTGATTAGTTTAGCGTATATGTTCTCTGCTCCATAGTTCTCTCCCAATGTAGCAATAACATTTATTCCTTGTCTGCTAAACAGTTTATTCCATAGTTTGCTCTTGACAGAAACCCTTTTCTTTTCATGTTTTCATTAACTTATTCCTTCTCAAGTTAATTTAGTGATACGGGAAAAAACTTGACCTTTGCAGGGTTGTGATCGGATATGATGAAGGGACAATAATGATAAAAATTGGTCGTGAAGTTCCTGTTGCTAGCATGGACAGCAGTGGAAAAATCATATGGTCAAAACATAATGAAATCCAAACTGTTAATATCAAGACTATTGGTGCAGACAATGAGGTTTTCTGTTCACCATGCTAATATGTTGAAAACTTGTAATACTTTCTTATACGTCATGTTTCCTAACCTGTTCTATTTTTCAGATTGCAGATGGTGAGCGCTTACCCTTAGCTGTGAAGGAGTTGGGAACCTGTGATCTTTATCCACAAGTATGTTCATATTTTCTATTTAAATGAATGCATCATTCGCATAGTGATCAAGTGATGTTTTCCACCAGAACCAACTTGATGCTTGCAAATGAGTCCCAAATTTCTGCTTGAGTTTCTTTTTCCTATTCATTACATGAGTCACATGTATACACCATTTGACCATGCATGTTGAAATATTTTTAATATGTTAATTTATTTGACATTTGCACTGGTGAGTTGTTTTATTTAAACACACCTTGGAGATTCTGTTGTTGTAGTAAAATTAAATTAATCTCAAATCTAGTATAGTGTAATTATAGTGTATGTTAGTAATTATAGTAATTATAGTGTATTCATTTCAGAGCTTAAGGCACAATCCGAATGGGAGATTTGTTGTTGTATGTGGAGATGGAGAATACATAATCTACACTGCATTAGCATGGAGAAATAGATCATTCGGGTCTGCACTTGAATTTGTTTGGTCAGTTGATGGAGAATATGCTGTCAGAGAAAGCACGTCGAGGATAAAGATATACAGTAAAAATTTCCAGGTTTGTACTACCACTGTCCCTTCTTTTAATTATCTTTGTACATCAGAGTAGGGGTCCTTCAATGCAATGTGTGGGCTAGAAAAATTTATTGGGTGTGCACATTTCATGGACAACCTGGAGTACTGTGCACATTCCAATAGAAATTAGTATAAAATTGCCAAAAAAAATTGCAAATAGTTCAAAAAAATATAGCCTGAATAGGAAACCACAAATTATATAACGAAAAAATGAATATCTCATGAACATTTATAAATCACCACCATCAATCTTCAAAGAACATATCCATTGTTTCAAATCGTTTTTCACATTTGGCTAATCCCAATTAGAAAATCCATTAAAAATCATCTACAATTTATTAATATAACTGAAGGTTTCATAATATAAAGTTAGTTTGTTTCTTGTTTTTCTTTAGAATATATAAAATCAGTAAATGACCAACTCCTTCTGGATAGGGATATGGGAGTGAGCAATATTGCCTATAGTAGTTTGGGTAGACTGATCAATACTCAATATGATCTCCTATATTCCTCTCGTGCCAACATATCATATTTCAAATGGTAATATCCTTTGCACTGTAAAATGTGATTTGAGTAAGGGGCATTATGAACCACTTTATTCTTCTACTGTTTCAGGGTCAACTTGTTACTTATATTTATTAGCCAGCTGCCAAGCTTATCACAACAATCTCCTTTACTGTGGTTTCTGAAAACATAGTATGATGATAAAACCTATCTATTTCAGGAGAGAAAGAGTATAAGACCACCATTTTCTGCAGAACGTATATTTGGTGGAGTATTGCTGGCTATGTGTACAAATGATTTTATTTGCTTCCATGACTGGGCAGAGGGCAGGATGATACGCAGAATTGATGTCAATGTGAAAGTGAGTAATTTTGTTCATGGATTCAAATTTATTTTGCGTGTCATTTGGAATATTATGATGCTAAATAGGATCCGCTTTCTTATTTGTAGAATCTCTATTGGGCCGATAGTGGTGATTTAGTGACAATTGCAAGTGACACCTCATTCTACATTTTGAAGTACAATGTAAGTTTTTCTGCATTTTGTTGGCTCTGTAGTTCAATGATGTAACATCTACTTGATGTAACTATAACACAACAATTATACCTTCCAGAGGGATGTAGTTTCTTCTCATTTGGATGGAGGGGGTTCAGTTGGCGAGGAAGGTGTGGAAGATGCCTTTGAACTACTTCATGAGATCAATGAACGCATCCGAACTGGCCTATGGGTTGGTGATTGTTTTATCTACAACAATTCTTCGTCACGGCTTAATTACTGTGTAGGAGGAGAGGTAAGTATTTTCATTATATCAAAAATACATTGTCACATATGATTTGGTTAGACCCTTAATTTTCAGGGGTAGTATAACTATTCGATGTATTACAGGTCACAACCTTATTTCACTTGGATCGGCAAATGTATTTACTGGGATATCTTGCTAACCAAAGCCGTGTCTATCTTATTGACAAGCAATTTAAGTGAGTCTTGGTTGTCTGGTATTGTATCATATTCTGAAGCCACAATGAACTTCTGAGGTTAACTTGTTTTCTTACTGCAGTGTTGTGGGGTATACTTTACTCCTTACCATGATTGAGTATAAAACACTTGTAATGCGTGGAGACTTCGATCGTGCAAACGCTCTTTTACCATCTATACCAAAAGAACAACATGACAGGTGCCCCCTGTTCTGCTAATTATTGTACTCTGCAACTCAGGCCTCAGAATCTGAAGATAACCCTTTTATTTTCAGTGTGGCACGTTTCTTGGAATCACAGGGCATGTTGGAAGAAGCCCTTGAGATAGCAACAGACTCTAATTACAGATTTGACTTGGCCGTGCAGCTTGGTCGGCTTGAAGTTGCAAAGGCACAGATGATTAATTTATTTATCACATTTCCAAGAATGTTTTTGTCTTTGTTCAAATGTTGTTAACTATTTGCTTTTCAGGCAATTGCCATTGAGGCACAAAGTGAGTCCAAGTGGAGGCAGTTAGGAGAGTTAGCTATGTCAACCGGAAAGGTACAGCTGTTGGATGTATTAGTTACTATCTTCTATGAGTAGTCAATATATATTGTGCTAATGAAGTGGGACTGTTCTGCCATGGCATTTTAGTTTCTTGATTATTAGTACCAGTATACCGTGTAACTTAATAATTATGAGCACACAAATAAATCCCTCCGTCCAACAATATAAGCACTTGAAGCATTTGAATTTTGTCCATGAATATAAGCATTTCTACAATACATATGTAAAATCAATCGCCTCATTTAAATTTCTTCCCATCTTAGGCCCAACCAGCCTTCAACCCCAACCTTCTCATTAAATGAGGGCACTAAAGTACTGTCTCCTCAACTTTAATCTTTGCTAAACAACCTAGAAATGATTATATTCTTGGACGGAAGAAGTATATAATTCAACAATGGCATTTGTGAAGAGATAATATTGCAGTTTTGATGGGAAGGCGCTTTGGTCGTTGCTATGATGCTAGAATTATAGAACCTAAGAAGTTATTTTGCCTTCGCTTTTGCTCTTTCCATCTTTTGTACTACCTCTATTTCATATTATAAGTCATTTTGACTATTTTCTAAGTTAAACTTCTTTAGGTTTGATCAAATCTATACAAAAATATAGCAATATTTCGAACACATAACAAAGAAACTATCCAAATATATTCAATGTTAGATGTAATGAAACTAATTTGGTGCTATAAGTGTTGCTATATTTTTTCTATAAACTTGGTTGAACTTTCAAGAAGTTTGATTTAAAAAAAAAGTCAAAACCACTTATAATATGAAATGGAAGGAGTAGTAGTTTTTCAAAGTAGAATTATGCGTGCATAACAATAATTTTGCTTGATGGCAGAGTTCTGCGTGTAAAAAAATAACTTATCATCTTAGTGTTAAGTAGAATTCCTGCAATTTAATAACTTTGCCATGCTATGTTTCCACGCCTTGGCCTAGATACAAAACTGGCTAAAAGAGTGCACCATATTCTAACCTGTCAAGTGTAAATTACTTTCTGCAGCTTGATATGGCAGAGGAGTGTCTTCTACATGCTATGGACCTCAGTGGTTTATTACTTCTGTATTCATCCCTTGGTGATGCTGAAGGGCTAACAAAATTAACATCTATGGCTAAAGAACAAGGGAAGAACAATGTTGCTTTCCTTTGTTTCTTCATGCTAGGAAAACTTGAAGAATGCCTTCAGTTGTTAATCGAAAGGTATTGCCATTTGCCAAGACTATCCTATTTAATAGTACAATGCTTATTCAGAAAATATATTTTTTATTTTATGGTGATCACGTTATATTCTCTATACAGTAATCGTATACCAGAAGCAGCATTGATGTCGAGATCTTATCTTCCGAGCAAAGTCCCTGAGATTGTAACATTATGGAAAAAGGATCTCCAAAAGGTACCATCTGCCCTATCCCCTATAATATTTCTTTGTTTTTTTCTACCTATTCTCATGCTTAATCTTTTGCACACCTGTATTAGATCGTGCTCAGTTGCTCACATTTTAGCGTGACTTGTCTCTTCAACCTAAGTTACATATTCAAGCATGAAATTTCTGTTCGGCATTACTGATGATTTTTAGTGATGTTTAGTGATGTTTCAGTCCTTTCTGGTGGTAATACTGATGGTTTTTAGTGATGTTTCAGTCCTAACAGGCAGAATGCCCCATCTAATTTTTGTGTACCTGATAAATCAAGGGCATTTTGTCTATTATCTAAGCTAGCATGAAAAAACCAACCAAAAGACATGCTTGTTATCTTGTGCTAGAGTATTGTTCTTATTTTCAGACTTACGCGACACTGTTTAATTTGTAGGAGCTATGTGTTTTATTATCTCACCATGCCTTTTTTCCTTCTCATGCCATTATCTTTATAGGTAAACCCCAAAGCAGCAGAATCATTGGCAGATCCTGACGAGTACCCAAACTTGTTTGAAGACTGGCAAATTGCTCTCAATGTAGAAGCTAATGTCGCGCCCAAAAGGTATGTTCGTAAAAGTAAAAACTATGTTCTTTTGTGAAAGTTTTACCAGTTCTCTCTTCCATGCATGGGACAAGTCGTCAAGGTTTGCTTTCCTCTTCTCTTTAATTGAAAGCATCTGATGAAATAAGAATGATGTCCTCTACCATGTACAGGATGTGGGGTTGGAATATCATATTTAGCTTCAATTGAACACATATAGTGAAATAAATAGAAGTAATGTCGGTGCTCATTTGTATTGTTTTTCTTTATTGTTCTGATGAAATCCTGTTTGAATAGGGGTATTTATCCACCAGCTGAGGAGTACATTATCCATGCTGAGAGGCCCAATGAGACTCTGGTGGAAGCTTTCAAAAGTATGCATATACATCTAGAGGAGGTGCTGCCAGATGAAAATGGAGATGACACTCACGAGGTATCACTCCTACGGAAAGAGTTGTAAAAAATATTGTTAAATAGTGGGTAGCTATTTGAAGATGTTAAATTACTTCTACTAAACTGATCTCTTTTTTTGCATGCGAGGTCCTATATTTATCACCAATCTTTAAAAGTGATCATTATTTCAATAAAATCGCATCTTTTGCTCTTCATTATATTTTCTTTTCTTCATGCTTTAAGTTGTAATATAGTAATATCAATCTGTTCCATCAGGCTATTGAGGAAAATGGAGTAGAAGAGAGCCAAGAAGATGCTGTTGAGGTTGATGTTGAAGCTGATGGTTCGACTGATGGTGCTGTCCTTGTGAACGGAAATGATACCGAGGAACAGTGGGGTACGAACAACGAAGAATCATCAGCATAAAAGCTGTAGTTGAGCAAGTGTACAGTCCTAAAACCCTTTTTTTGGTCCTCGTTTATCCTCCCAGTGCACCAATGATCACAATGAAAACTTGATGCTGGTGTCCTCAAAAAGAAAGAAAGAAAGAAAGAAAGAAAACCTGCTTCTGGATACAAGTGTTTATTCTGGACTATATCCTTTAGTTTAATCTGTTGGGATAATTTCAGTTATAATTTCATTTTGGTATTCGAGTTAATCTGTTGGTCTGACCAGTTTTCTTAGACAGTTTGAACATGAGAGCAAAATTTGTGCTTGCTATACATGAGTTGTTGATGTTTTCTAACGACTATCTTGCCTTTTGCAGTATTGACTCCTGACCAATAGTGAATCAGCGGGACAGCAACCTGATACACTGATTCAGCTTGTAAAGGTGAAGTGTTTTTCCATCTATACAATTAGCGACAGTTGTTAACAACTATTCATTTATTATAGCTAATTATTTTTTGACAGGTTGCTGACTCCTACTGAAACTATGTGAAGGCCGTTTTCCTCCACTTGTATAATCATTGGGCGTGCTTTAAGATCGGCATATCCGACGATAAAACCCACAGAAATTAGTCATCGCTTTGTCCTTGTTTGAGATAGAAAATTTTGTACCTTTTTACACACATAGGTCCTTACTGTGGGTTCTCAGGATGCTTTATATATACGAGGGATGTTCCCTTCTTGTTGAGGTTGAATTTGATTAGCTAAACCGGATCCATATTTTACACAAAGTACATAGGGTAAAATGTTAAACCAGCCGAACATTACCTTTTTTTTTTTCTGTTTCATGTTACACGAACCAGCTCCCATGAAGCCATGATACAGGTAATTCACTAAAGAGCACCCCTAAACAAAAAAAATAGTATACCAGAAAAATGGGGGACTAGGAAGAGAGAGACCGCGAGTAGGAATTAATTACAAGAAACAGTATAAAACAAAAATAGAGATCATGATTCATGAAGAACAGCGACAGTGGCTAGGAGGAAAGAATAGGAGGAACAAGCCCATGCAACTTCATCTGTTAAGTTGGATCCCTGCCTTTGCTGCTACCGCCGCTGCTGCAGCCTGCAGACCAGTGTGTACATAGGAGATGCGACAAGCTCAGGGAACTAGGGAAAAATGAGAGGGAGGTGCGGGGAGCGTTTTTATAGGCTCGGGAGGGTGAAAGGGAGCTGGGGCGAGGCGGATTTGGGCGGCGACGACATGGGCGAAGTGGAGCTCGATTAGGCGCCAGAATTTGGGGAAATGTGGAGAAGAGGTGTAGTAGTGTGCGACGACCGGGCCCGCATGAGAGAGGGCGCGAGGAGGCGCGGAAGAAGCGGCAGCGTGGGGCGGGTGCAGTGACCATGGCGGTTTCGGCCCGAGGAGACCGGAGGTAGGAGGAGGAGCTGACAGGTGGCGTCACCGGTCCCACCTGTCGGCGAGGGAGGGAGAGAGGAGACCGAGAGAGGAACGTGAAATGGACAGCCCAAAGAGGAAGGAGGAGAGGAGGGCGGCCCGATAGGGAAAAGAGGAAGGAGGGGCGGGCGGGCCAAGGGAGGAGATGAAGCCTTTGGGCCGGAAGCGGCCCAAAGTGCAGGAAGAGATTTTAAATGGTTTTCTATTTAATTTAATTGATTAATTGATGTTTGTACTATTATAATTACTTTTTGAGCTCTGAAAATTCACGGGAAATTTCAGAGAGTAAATTAGAACATAGAGAATTTTACAAAAATATTTTCGGCCATGATTTTTAAAGAAAATTTTTAATTCCCTCAATAATTCACTTGATTAAATTGCTTTAACTTTTAATATAATTTCTAGAAATGATTTATTTAATGATTTTTAATCCCGAACGAAAATCAGGGCGCGACACGACAGCTTATCATCGTCTAGAGAAGTTGTTTGCTTGGACTGGGCTTAAAACTGATGTTAACTTTATTAAGCAGTGTCAAGTATGTCAGCATGCCAAGAGTGAACATTGCAAGTTGCCAGGCTTGCTGGTACCTCTTCATGTTCCCAAAGAGGCTTGGATGGATATCTCAATGGACTTTGTGGAGGGTTTGCCTAAATCTGATGGCTATTCAGTAATTCTGGTAGTTGTGAATCGGTTCACTAAATATGCTTATTTCATTCCTTTGAGGTATCCTTTTACAGCCTCTCAAGTGGCTACAACTATGGATCGTTCTGTGTTTAAAACATATGGTATTCCTCACTTGATTGTCTCTGATCGGGATATGATATTTACAAGCAAATTCTGGGGAGATTTGTTCAAAGTTTGGAACACACAGTTGCAAATGAGTACTGCGTATCATCCACAAACCGATGGGCAAACCGAGCGTGTGAATCAATGTTTGGAGATATATCTTCGTTGTGTATGACTCAGGCTTCTCCTCACAAGTGGCATCATTGGCTCCATCTTGCCGAATATTGATATAACACTTCTTCTCACACCTCCATGGGCTGTTCACCATATAAAGCATTCTTTGGTACTAATCCCCACTCCAATCAGATTCCTGTTCTTTGTCTTCAACTCATCATGCTGTGGATGGATTTAGTATTTGAATGTGATCAGCTCTCAGCTTTTCTTCAGGAGCAATTGCAAAGAGCTCAGTTACGTATGAAACACAAAGCTGACAAGGGTCGTTCTGAACGTGCTTTTTCAGTTGGGGAATCTGTCTTTCTGAAACTCTAGCCGTATGTTCAGTCATCGATGGTCAATCGTCCATATCCCAAATTGGCGTTCAAGTTCTTTGGGCCTTCCAAGATTCTAGAGAAGGTTGGCACTGCTGCTTATCGTCTTGGTTTGCCTGATCACAGTTTGGTGCATCCGGTTTTCCATGTGTCTCAGTTGAAGCCCCATGTGCCGGCTCACACACCTGTTTTCGGTAGTCTGCCTACTCTTGTGGTTCTGGATGCAGTTGAAGTTGTACCTGCAGAGATCCTTAATCGTCGGCTTGTTAAGAAGGGGAATGCTGCTCGAATGCTGCTCATGTGCAAGTGTTGATCAAGTGGACCTCGCTGCCAGCCGATCATGCAACTTGGGAAGACTATGACGTACTCCCTATTTGTCAAGATTAATAGCCAAAAGTTGTTATATTTTGGGGTGGAGATAGTACTGAAGAATCCCTTCCCTTGTGCGCCAGCTTGGGGACAAGCTGATACTTTGGCGGGTGGTACTGTTACTGTTACGAGTGTATGAGATATAGACTTTCATGTGTGAGTGGGCCTGCGAGCCCAGGAGGATTTAGGCCTGTGCGCCAACAACTAGTATATAAGCAAACAGAAATGAGAAATACATCTCTCCTCCCCCGACAACTCTGTTCTAACTTCTTCTTCCTCAGTTCCTCTGCTTCTCGATCTTGAGCGATTTCGAAGATACTACTCTCTTCCTCAACTCCGATCAGATCTAGCCTGATTCCGGCGGTGAACGGCGGCGGAGGTTGTGTAACAGCCGCGTCCCCGCCGTAGCCGGCCGTCGCGGGCGTCACAATGGTACGTGACTCCCCTCTCTCTCTCGCTCTCGCCTTCCCCCAGGCTCGCGCTGCTTAGGTTTCGCCGCGAGTGGGGATCGGTACGGCGAGGGCGAACCGTTTGACGGCCGCGCCGCGCCGCGCGGTGCCGTGCCGTGCCGTGCCGAGATCCGGTGGCTGGAGCGTCGAATTCCGCGTGGATCTGGGGTTTTTTTTTGTTTGTTGCGTACTGACGTGATTGCCTTCTCGTTCGTGCTTTCGTGTGATTTTTTTTTTCTCTGGCGGCGAAATGGCGATGGCTGTGATGTTGGCAGCCGCTCAGGTTGGATATCAAGGTAACCACTGCGCCTCTCCCTCGGATCTGCTTAGCTTAGTTTGGTTTGTTTTGGTGTGTTTAGCTGAATGTGTTTGGTGGTTGGATCAGAGGAAGCTCGCGCAGAGGTCGGAGAGGGCCAAGTCCGTGGATCTGCATCCGACCGAGCCATGGTGAGTGGGCAAGTTTGTGTGTGTGACATGATTTTTGGGTTTTGGGGTGCTAGTGATGTAATGATTATGTTGTTCAAAGTCACATGAATAACTTCCTCCGGTGTAATGCAGGATTTTGTCGAGTCTGTATTCAGGGAGCGTTTGCATCTGGAACTACCAGACGCAGGTACATGACTGTTCACAGTAGCTTAATTCGTCATTTTCTGCTGGTTTCATGGATTTTATGAAATGATGATTATCTACTACCAGCACGCTGAGCTTTTGTACTGCAAAATGGATATTCCCATCCATATGTAAAATTCAAGATACATTGGATTTAGTGTGCTTGTAGTAGTAAACTTTGACGATATGCGCTCATAGTAAGTTGTACCAGAGCCCGGAAAGAAAACAAAGAAAAAGAGGGGGGGGGGGGTCAAACATAGCGATGAATGATGAATTCTTAAAACCTAGCGAGGAAGTCTTCGATGCATTGTAGAAAGGAATATGGTCAAAATAGAAGTAACAAGGAGTCAATGAACTTCTAGATGGTTGTTTCAGATGTGTGAGTGTTAGCTACATAATTGGGACTTCTTAATAGGTTTGCAAACTATTTAGAGCAAAACAGGAGGAGGTAAAACATAAAAGTAAAATCTAGAAATCGATGGACGGAAAAAGAAACATACATATTTTCAGCATAGTTACTCTTAAAGTTAAACTGATTATAATATATTCATCTATCCTCAGACGATGGTGAAATCATTTGAAGTCACAGAGTTACCAGGTATGCTTTCCCACCTCATCGCTTACTTCTGTTTGATATACCATCTTGCTAATATAATCATCCCCATTTCAGTTCGGTCATCTAAATTTATCACACGGAAACAATGGGTAGTTGCTGGTGCCGACGATATGTTCATACGTGTGTACAATTACAATACGATGGATAAGGTCAAGGTTTTTGAAGCTCATACGGATTACATCAGGTGTGTGGCTGTTCACCCAACCCAGCCTTTTGTGCTGTCATCATCTGATGACATGCTGATCAAGCTTTGGGATTGGGATAAGGGTTGGATGTGCACTCAAATCTTCGAGGGGCATTCTCACTATGTTATGCAAGTCACATTTAACCCGAAAGATACCAATACTTTTGCTAGTGCTTCACTTGATCGCACAGTAAAGGTTTGCGATTTTGTTCCTTACATTTGCTTGGCATAGTTTTTGCATTTCTAACATTTCTTGGTCTGGATTTGAATGTGGTGCCCTTATTTAATTTCAGGTATGGAGTCTTGGTTCCCCTGATCCTAATTTCACATTAGATGGCCATTCAAAAGGTGTCAATTGTGTTGATTACTTTACTGGTGGTGATCGCCCATACTTAATTACAGGCTCTGATGATCAGACCGCGAAGGTATGCCATCTGCAGTGAATTATCTTGTGAGTATATTGGACATTGTTACGAGACACTTCGTTGAATCAGGTTTGGGACTATCAAACGAAGAGCTGTGTTCAAACGCTTGAAGGACATGCACATAATGTCTCTGCTGTTTGTTTCCATCCGGAGTTACCTATAATACTTACTGGCTCTGAGGATGGGACAGTTCGCTTGTGGCACTCTACTACCTACAGGTTCTCTCGCTCTCTCCCCCTATGATACAACTCATAGGATACTTCATGCATAGTTTGAATTTTGAGATAAATTCATGTACTCGTT